CAGGACGGTGGAATCGGCGCCTGCTGAGCCGGAGACGGTGACGACTACGGTGACGAGAGCGCGCTTCTCGATGACGCCGTATCTTCGGAGATCGTTGGCCTCGGCGGCGGGCGTGATTTGAGCAGCCGGGGCGTCGTAGGGAGCATCGAGAACGGGGAGGAAGTTGAGGCTGCGCTTGGCAAGGACGGTAGAGGTGACATAGTTGGTCACGGTGGCGGTCGCGACATCATTACTGGTGATGGTGGTGGTCTGGAAGGTCGTGGAGGTGACGACAACGGTGGTGGTGACTGTACGCAAGAAGACTGTGGTCGACGTGACTGTTCCTCCGCCGCCGCCGCCCACGGTGGTGGTGATGGTTACTGTGGTAGTGGCCTCTGCCGCAGCTGTGGTCTCTGTTGTGGCCGCCGGAGTCGTGGCTACGGGTGTCGTGGAAGTGGGCGTCGAACCGGTGCCGGTTTGTCGGGGTCGGAGGACAGGCAGGGGCTTGCTGCCATTATCGACAAAGGGAAAGGCGGTGGTGAAGGAGGACCAGAGTAGGGCCGCGAGGCCGGCTGATCCGAGACGCATGGTTGCGATGCGGCCGCTCTACAACGAGTAGAGGACCGAGAATGAGCGCAATGGCAGTGGTGAGGATTGAGGTTGACTTTCGTTGTGTGGATGTGTGAGGTTTAAACGGGGGAGGGGGGGCGAAGAGTCGAGTACGGATTGATGAAGGAGGAGGAGGAGGAGGAGGATGCGGTAGGTAGTGACCTAGGGTAAAGTGGGTCGGAAACAAGTGTGAGGGAGGTGTGTGTGGTGGTGTAAGTACGAGTTGTGTGTGTTGTGCCACCGCGGCGAAACACGGTGGAATGGGGATGGCGTCGTACAGTTTGGTTGTGGGAAGAGGAAACGGAACGGTGCGAGTAGACGGATGAACAATCGACGGGGCTAAGGTACGAAGTGAAGATGGGAAGCAAAGGATGGAAGATCGGCTACCTTGGGACTTAGGTCACGCCGGGACAGGTTCGGTTGATTACGAGAAGAACTTTTAGTGGAAGGAACGGAGACTCGAGAGTACGGGAAAGAGCGATGTAGATTTAGCATCGATTGGCGACTGCCTCCATTTGCTCAGTTCTGTACGGAGTACCTAGGTAGATCTGGGCTGTTCACTAACTTCACTTCGTACGCAATTTCTCCCTCCCTTGAGTCTTGACACGAACAACCTGCTCGAGTCCTAGAGACCTAGACCATGCGAAAAATGCACACAATGCAGCCAAATCTGCACAAGTCCCAGCAAGTGCGCCTGTACGGCTGTACCTCCGCAGCAGTGCAGATTCCGTCGAGCTTAGCGTCCCGGCCGACGGGTGCTAACGGAAAAGCCACTCGTAATAGCGTCCACACGTCCAAGGTGGCGCGGTTTACTGGTTTTTTGCCTCATCTGTCATGGCTCATGAATTGGTCCAAATGGGTTGTGCATGGTATTTCCCCCTTCTGATTCTCCTATGTAGGACTCTCTGATGAACTCCGTCTTCTCCGTCAGGCTAGACGCTGGGCAGCGCTTCTCCTTTTCGTGGTCCATCAAGTCTCTCCACCGTCGGATACTGGGGAGGAGCCCGAGCCGATGGTTTGCAAGAGGGGCCCTTCTCCCAAGAACTTCGATTGAACAAGTGACAGGGAAAAAATAGACAAAAGAGTGGGCGGGAGGGGCGTCGAGGAATTAACCACTCCATCTGCTGCCCTCTCGGGTCCCAAACGGCAGGTTGTTATTCAATACTGCTGCTCGAGGGCGGCCCAAACCCAAAGGAAATAAGACCAAAGGGCGACGGAGCGAGAAAAGGCTAACAAATGTTTAATTTGGACAGGCCCAAGTAGGAAACACAATGACACAACCACACAAGGGGGGCACAAAAAGGGACGACGACTCCGACAGCGAGGGCTTAGAATTTTCGGATGCCCGTCAACTTGGAGCTCTTTTCGACAAGGTCTGTCCCCGCCATCCGAGAGTGCTCTCGATGGTGATGCGCGCCGCTGCTTGGATATCCGCTGAATGCTGCAATGGCAGTGCTCGACAAGCCCGCCATTGACAGCCCGCGGTGGCCGGGCTCTTCGCACGCACACACGCGCACTACATCATGGGAGGTGCTATGTGCCCCCAAAACGTGCCTCCATCTCGCTCTTTCCGACCTCTGTGCTGTTTGGATTGAAAAGATGGCATAATACGGAGAGAATTGACAGCCAGTCGATGGTTATCAGCAACAATACCAGGGCTCGGGGACAACGAATGAGTATCGATAGCCAGGCAATACACGGCGGAATTCCATTGGACAATCAGCAGCAATACGAGATTGTCGGAACACCGCCTTGGTCCCGCGACGGTTAACGAAATCTCCCCGTCAACTCCAGTCTCCAGTCAAGTCCCCCCCGTGTTGCCTGCCCCATCATGCGGTCCGCGGGATGAACCCAAGTGGGCAACATACGATGGCTGAGTAACCAAGGGCCCCGACAATGGCCACGACGACGCCTACGACAGCGACGCGTCGAAGAAGAAAACATGTTGAAACTGCCATGATAACGAGGTTTCTTCCACCCGTATATGCATCGCGCGGTGTTGAGAGGTTTCAAAACGTCGCAAACATTCAAAAGCACGGAATAGACCCGGACCCTTGATAGATGTTGCGCTTCTCCCGCCAGGGTTCATTTGAATCCCTCCCCGGGCCATAAAACCACTTCCGTGTCAACGCCGGCGTGGCGCTGGTCACCCGGGCGTTCAACGACCCTGGATTCCTCACATCGTCAGCTAGCGCCACAGTTGCTCGCATTCGCGCATTTCCTGCCAAATTCGATCTTTCGGCGGTGGACCGTATCGCGACATTGAGACGCGCCCAAACTATTACAGCGTGTCGAGAAAAGAAAGAAAAGTGCTCGTGAACCGTGGTAGCGAGTGAGTGACCTTGCTCGTGTCTCACCCTCGACAATGCTTCGTAAACTATCTGTATGCTCGCAGCTCGAGAGGATAGAGTAGTGGTGTTGACGTCTCGTCATGCGATCGGCGCGTGGGCAGAATGATATCAGCCTGGGCAGACGCTTACAGCAGACAGCGCATAACAACACACACACGCACACACGCGCCATACAAGGAGCCGAAACGGAATACGAGATCAAGGTGCAGCAGCCAGCGCCCAGTAGGCCTACAGAACGGTCGGTTTAGGGAGGTGGGCTCGCCAACAGCGTCATCCTCTGTAGATCAGCACCGTCTGCGACACGAGAGAAGATTATAAGGATTCTCGGGTCTCAAAGATGCTCAAGATGGGAGAAAAGCCCGACAGGACCCAATCTCTCCTGCAGTCCGTCCAGTTCCACGCATGAAGCAGTATCATGCTTGGAGTCTATCAACTCTCAAGAAAGGCCGCTACTCAATCTCTTACCACCAAGCTGGCAAGCTTCGAAAGTGCTTACTGCGAAAAGAAGAAAGAGGGGACTGCCCGGGACACTCGGGCGTCCAAGACTCGAAGGGGCCCAGGGGTTGTAATTCCCGGAAATTGCCCAGAGACACAGCGTCCACCAGCCGGTGAGTAATCCAGTTGCCAGCTGAGCCACACCTCAATGTGAAGTCCAGGCACACGGTGCGCTCACTCAGCGTGGGGCTTGACGGGCTTCTACAACGTCTGTGCATTTGCCTTGAGTGAGAGTGTGGCTCACATGTCGCTCACGAGGAATGCATTCTCCAATTCAAGCTTTATTTCTCCAGATTTCTCGTCATTTTCCCCATTTTGTACTCACAAGTATGAGACATTCCACTTTTGTGCTATTTGACATGAAGTCGCCTCCATTCTTGCCCGCTCCCTACCAAGGTCTCTGCTCGAAAGGTTTCGTCTTGCCCATGGGCTGTCGCCGGAAGAGTGGACGGTCTCACATGTTGTGACTACCTCAATAATCTTGGCCGTCTCCAACTTCACATCATGATGGCCGGAGCGCATAATAGACAACTACAGGAGATAGTGATGGTCTATGTTCTCTTGTTAGAAAGGAATGTCTGTGTCTGCTTTTGCTTACTTTGAGAGGCAGTCATCTGGTTGGCTTAATATGTCATTCTGTTATCGCCGTTACAAAAGTAAGTCTGCACATATTGACGCCATATAGCAGTCGATGGGATATGCTTAGCGCACCTATTTCCGACCTACATATATGCTCAATCGGAGTCCGAACCCCTGGAGCGCATCGAACGCGAACTCATCGTACGCCTCGATCGCGAAGCCGTGTGACCGGCTTGACTGCCTTTCCTAGATTTCGATAACGGCATCGGGGGGACCGCAACGTCTACGTTCGCACTTCAAATTGGATTATTGTCTTTGTACGGAGTATTCGAAAGAGAATACCCGAAGCTTCGGCGCCACCAACAAGCCATCTCGCCGCATCTTATATACTCCTGCGCTGTTCCACGAAGTCTTCAGAATGAGCATCGGCGATATCACCCAACAGATCCGCCGACGTCCGTACACACAGGGCCCGAAAGAGCTCAATCTCATGCTCGCCCAATGCCGTGTCCTTCCCAGAACATCTGAGCTCCTCCCTCTCGCCGCCCTCAGTACCGCAAGCAATCCACCCTCGCCTGCCATCCAACCAGGTCGGCATGTTGATCGGCCCATCCCACGGCCTCGCCCAATCGCCCGCGAAGAAGTTGATGGAGGTCAATGAATTCTTTGCGTAAAGTTGTATGAACCTCGCAACTTGGAGGGCACTCGTTGCCGTGAGCAAAGGGCTGGCGAGCTGCTCCACCGGACCGCAGGTATCCTCGCAACGGACCGCATCGTACGGGCCCTGTTGACGACGGCATTCGCTTGCGATCTCAAGGTATAGCGTAAGGTTGGTCAGTCCAGCCGGGAGGCCTAACGCGAGAGCACGGAGGTCCTCCCATGGCCACGTGCCGTTGCGGTTGAGGTCGATGGTCAGAGATTGCAAGTTGGGTGCTAGGTTGCGAAGGTCTCGCAGAACTTCCCTCGGAAGCGCTGGCCTCTTGGACTCTAGGCTTTCTGGCGTACGCCATTCCAGGTGAGTGAGAGAGCGGCCATGGTGATCGAGGATGGGGCGATAGACTGGTTCTGGCCGGCGTCTAGCCATGAAAGGCTGTGTAGCGAATGCGGAGGTAGCGAGAGGGCAAAGTCTACTGTTGTGCTCCGTTCGAGCCTCAATGTGCGAAGGCTTGGTAGAGATTGAGGCAGTTTGCTTTCGACGAGTGTCTCGAGAGGACCGTCGTAGTCCAAGATTGAAAGATTGCGGATCTTGGAGAAGTCCATTGCGTCGAGCCACAGTTCGATGTTGTTCACTGATCTTTGGTCTTCTGTGAGTAGTCCCCATTTCACCCATCCGAAGGCACCACCCGACCAGATCCAAGCACTGAGGTGAGTCCATCCTCGTAAAGGACGTAGGTAATCCCCATCAGTATCGTAGAATTGATACTTTTCGAGGGATAGTGTGTCCAGAACGGGGAAATACCGCGATGTTCCGGCGGGATCGAGGGGAAGGCTCCAGCGATCGGGTTCTCCTACACAACCGATCTCCCCGACACGCAGGTTTAGCGATGTGATGTTGGGACAGTGGGTGAGAGCATCGTGGACTTCATCTAAGGACTTGTAGTCTGCATTACTTGGGCTTTGGTGGGATGGCGGTATGGTGACTCTGAGTTCCGAACTGGAGGGACAAGTTACGGGCTTTGCTGGTGAGGCGATTTCAGCCCAGATGAGGAATGAGGTGAGAGTATGTGTTGGAAGCATGATGGCTCTAGTTACGGTATCGATGGCTCTTCTAGCCCATCGGTGTTCGTTGTGATCATGCGGCGAGAATGGAAGTTGAGCTTATCAGGTAGAAAGACGATGGCTGGGAGATGTGACAGGGGCATATTGGTTGGACCCCTGTTGCGCTGTGCCTCATTCAACGTGCCCACCGCCATTTTCATGCTGTGCTTTTGCTGAGCAAGCGCTGTCAAGTGATCACTTCAGCCAACGCCATAGTTGTGTTTATATCACATACCCGCCATACGTTCGCGCTCATAGCTCAGAGGTCGATATCTGACGCTGCTTGGAAAGAACTACGCTTGAGGGTGGCCATCCCTCGCTGTGTCCTACTGCCTGGTCGGAGACCTTTCAAGTGTCGTGATACTAGAGCCGGGTTCTCTGATAATACCACCGGCTAGCCGCTTGTGTGAGCGTGGCGGTAGTCTCTATCGAATACTCGCCCTACGTTGCAGCGCCGCTCCTGCGTGATCCAAGAAAGACACCAGGAGCGACCGAGGTCTGTAGGGTCAGAGGAAACATAGCCATCGCTGGTATCGCGATATCCATGCCGTCCGCACTGACATATTTCCCGGAGTAAAAATGCCAACAAGTTTAAACTATCCAGGTATGAGGAAGTTATCTGGATGCGGACGTTGAGAACTCTATCCCAGCCGTCAAGTCACATGATGGAACATCAACGGAGATGTATGCCTGAGTGGGGAGACCAAAGGAATCTATTTCCATATCGTGGTATTCCTTCCCAAGGACTCTTTGTGTGCAGCTAAAGAAGATTCATATCCCCCAGGAGATGTAGAAGACATACACATCCAACTCAAAACACACTCGACGCCTTCAACAGTCGACCAAGGCAATTCACTTCCAATACCCTACATTCAGCTCCACAACAACGATATCATGTCTACCACAATCCAGACCAGATTCCTCGTCATCTCAGACACTCACGGACACACGTTCCCACCTGAAATGATTCCTCTTGTACCTATTGACGTTCTAATCCACTGCGGCGACCTTACTGACCACTCCAAAATGGATGAATACCGCCGAACCCTCGCCATGCTCAAGGCCTTCAAGGCGCCACTCACGCTCGTCATCTCAGGTAACCACGACTTCTCCCTCGACGCCGTAGCATTCAAAGCAAAAATCGAAGAAGCCAACCGCCTCAACGGCGAGCCAATCGAGGCAGATCTAGTGGAACGGCATTATGGCGGACACGGACTGGCCAAGAAACTCTTCGCCGACGCCGAGAAGGACGGTATTATTCTCCTGAACGAGGGTACGCACCAATTCGCGCTGGTTAACGGAGCTAGGCTTCAAGTCTACGCCAGCCCGTACACGCCATCGTCATCTTCATCAGAAGGCTGGGGCTTCTCCTATCATGAAAGCGAGGGACACGAATTCCACATCCAGACGGACACGGATATCGTCATGACGCATGGTCCGCCTCATGGGGTGATGGACATGTCTGCGGATAAGAAGCGCGTCGGCTGTCCGCATCTCTTTGCTGCTGTTGCAAAGTCTCGACCTCGCTTGCACTGTTTCGGACATGTACACGGCGGCTGGGGAGCGAAGAACGCAGCTTGGCGCCCCGAGATCTCCGATAAACCCTCACATTTCAGTAATACTGACCATGAGAAGTCTGAGCTGGTTGATAATCTCGCGACGCTCGGAGGTACCCGGTTCGAATCTGAAGAAGACAGGAAGATGAGGGAACGGAGACTCGAGCTCTACAGGGTGCAACGATACTGTAGGGCAGGACATCTTCGTAATGAAGTGAGCTCGGCGGAGGTCAAGAGCACCATGTTCGTCAACACCGCGCTCGAGGCAGACGGTGAATTGCAACGCTACCCCTGGATCATCGACATTGACCTGTCGAAAAGCGAAGCCGGCAGAGCACCTAGGACTGAGGGGAAGAGGAGGCGGGAGGAATCGACTCAAGAGCTCGAAGAAGCAAGGAAACTCTCAGATAGATCATAGTTCACTGACTTTCGAGCACGATTGAGGGCGTGACACGGCGTTGTGGCAGCTTTCACGTTAGATATCCGGTGTTTAGGAGTTTGCGATACCAGGTACACATCATAATCTTGCAAAGTCCCCTTGTCTGCTCTGGCGCGAGAACAAGATACCCGAAATCGCCAAGCAAAAAGCCAAGCTGTCCCTCGCCCATCATCCCTCACCCACACATCACCAAGCACGAAGAGCCATTCACCCAGACCACGCGCCCCCGGCTTGAAAGTCCCCCGTATCTGCTCACCCAAGTGCCCGGGTGACAAAACCGATTTCCGCTCGGCACATCCGACAAGCACCTTTTCCCGCTATCATCACTAGTACTAGTATCTGCTATACGGGGTATATTCTTTTACGTGTATAAGGAATATTTTGATGCGAAAGGGATAGTAGTTATGATGATGTAAGTAGTGAAAGGTACCGTAGATGCATGGCAGAAGATCGATTGTCCACCCGTCACCCAATCTACTATCCTCGTAAACAAACAAGCAGTCAAGCAATGTTAAGAAGAATGGCTTACGACCCTACGGAAAGAAAAATCCCAACCACGCGGCGGCATGTAACACCCCCTTGCTCGTCCGATATCATCCCAGTCGTAGCGTTTTACAACAGGCGTCTCGAAACCCAACAAAGGGCACACACCCTTCCCAAGCAGTCGTCATCTTTACACCAGGCCCGGGCGTCCGAGCGCTTCCCTCAGTTTCCTCGTGTAGGGCCTACGGGAGCCCAAACGGTGGCGAAGACTTGAGGAAGGGGCACGTCTCACCTCATCTTGGGAACCTTCTCTCACACACATGCACGACTGTGATAGATAACGAGAGATACGGCTGAAGGAAACCAAGTTGACTTTTGCAAGAGCCTTGTGCCCTGCTGCATCAAGAACTGTCTAAGTATACTGATGATGGCATCGCTAGGTACAATGTAAATGTCGGTAGTAGTAAATAGTATATCCACAAGGGGTTGCGGGGATGACGCCCAAGATTATCATCATCCACCGATGCACTTCCTCACTGTCGCCCTCCAAATTCTCCTCCTCCTCCTCCTCCTCTCCGACGGCATGCCTGTGATGCCGTCACCCATGTCGCCAATACCTGGCATCCACCTGGTCCCGCGGCGTCCGGCGCAACTGCAACATGCAACCCCGTGGATCAGACTCCATGATAGTCTATCCTACCACATCTGATAAATGCTGGCAGAGATAGAGTGGTACAGGCAAGCAAAGACGCTGATATTGTTGACAAATAATATGGTGGAAGAGGGAAACGAAACGAAATTGTTGCCTTTGTTTTTCTTCGACTTTGGCTTAGAAGTTCTCCTTGCCCCACACGAACGAGAAGCTGCAGTGGTGTTAGCATCGAACGTGTTTTCAGGCCTAGAATGGTGACTTACCCAGGTTCACTGTACTTATTACAGAAAATGTGCAGCGTGCTACCCAGACCCTTGGGACCGCAGAAGAATACACCGGCCTCGGCGGGCGAGTGCAGCTTGCGGATACCTCTGAAAATCATGTCCCAGTTGGGTCTACCGAAGTTGGTCGGCGAGCGCAGACCAGTAATGGTATCCTTGTCGGCGTTGGCGTCGTTAATCATGATGTTCGTCGCGTCGTCCGCCTTGATCTTGGCCGTCAGGTAGGTGTGGATCTCGATGCGGTTATCGACATCCTGGGCTTCGATGGCGAGAAGAAGGGAGCGGAACCACTCGAAAGAGCCAAAGTCTCTGCAAATCCAGAAGAAGTAGACCTTGCTCAGGCGAGTCTTCTGCTGAGGGTAGTTCATGCGGTACCAGATGGACTTGAGAATGGAAGCAAAGGGCGTAACACCGATACCGGCACCGCAGAGAACCGAGATCTCATACTTGAAAACGTCCTCAGAGGCCGAACCAAAGGGTCCGTCAATGTAGACACGGGGCAAGACACGGCGAAGTGCGGGATCAACTTCGCTGGAATCGCTGTTGACACCGACGACCTTGCTGGCATCATCCTTCTTCTTGTCCCACTCGCAGCCGAGAGCCATTGAGACGGCACGAGTGAAGTCACCGACAACACGCATGTGGATGGATATGTAGTCTTCCTCGGGGGCGCTGGTCAAGGTAAAAGGGTGGTACTGCCACAGAGAGACAGCGGGACAGCAGAAGAAGATGTACTGTCCAGCCCTGGTCTTGGTGTGCTCCTTCTTGATCTGGATTTCGCAGACATTGCTGGGGTGCTGAATGACCTTGGAAACGTACGTCTTGTGGCGTCCACGAACCTCACGAGCGACACGCTCAGCCAGGTAGACGAAACCGCCATACATCCAGTACTGCCAAAAGACACCGATGGCGGACGTGCCAATGCTGGTGCAGAAAGGAGCGAAGTCGGGCTGAATCATGCAGAAGGCACCGTGGATGGACCAGAAGAAGAAGAAGACGATGAACATGTGGTGCGTGTACCAGAATCGCTCGTAGTTGGCACGACGGGGCTTCTCGACCGAGGTGAAGACCATACCCATAAGTGCGATGAGCATGACATAGCCAGTCCAGCCGGGTCCGGAGACAAAGTTGGCCAGCAGCCAGCCGTAGATTCCGAGGTTGTTCTTGGCAGCGATCTGGGCGAAGTTGTTCCAGTGGGCAATGGTGTGGACCCATGAGAAGAAGACGATGGACCAAGCGGTGGTGATGTGGAAGGTGATGTTCTTGTCGAACTGGATGATTCCATTGAGCGGAGTCTGGCGGGCCAGGGAGATGAGCGTGCGGCAGACGGGGAAAAGGACCAAAGCGACATCGACGTGGAGCACAAGCGCAGCTGAACGTGCAATGATGAAAGTCGGGCCAAATGTGTCTCTTGCTATTTGCAAGTTGTCCTTGAGGGCGAAGTTGACGGAGGCGAACGCGAAAACGAGGCCGTGAAGCACGAGGAACACAAAAACGAATCTGTTTGTAGTTAGAACCTGTTGTCTGAAATTCGGACTGGAAGTGCGTAGACATACACTCTTCGGTATCCTTCGTTAATCATCCAACGGTCGAAGCGCTCCCGCATCGTCAAATCCTTCTGCTTCTCCTGAGTCATCTCTCCGGAGAGAAGCATGCGGGTGAGAGGTGTCCATCTTGAGCGTTCCGAAGGCTTCTCGGAGCCTGCGTAGTAGTAATCCATGACTGGGGATTCGATCTGGCTTGTCGCTAGCCAGTAGTTCTTCGACGGTTGTTCTCTTGCTGATTTCCTTTCCGATCCGAAATATCCCCAGTGGAGGGCTGGTCTTCTTCTCGACTCTTTCTCGGATTTCAATTAAACGTCCCCGTTGGTTCTTTTTCCTTCCCTAGTCGTCGTTGGCAATTTCTATTGTCGTGGTGATGGAGATGTGCGAATAGTCGCGGGTATAATCGAACGTTGGGGGTTGGTTCAGAGCCTGCTGAATGGGCGCAGAAAATAATGCATCTAAATGAAAGTAGGCGAAAAGAAGTGATGAGTCGATCCAAGAAGCACGCGCGAACCCAGAAAAGAGCGGAAATTCGAGCCTGCGATCCGGTGGTCACTGGGTCAGCGAAATGAAGGCTTCACGCGCGAGGCGGTGGAAGGATGGAAGGTGGTGGGAGGGGGCACGGAGCTGGAATGTAAATGATAGAAGGTGGCGGGAGGAAGCAGAGAAGAAGAGGTGGCGGCCGAGGGGCTTATGGCGCACAACAGAGTTTTGCGGACGCAAGAGAGTGTGTCCGGGAGACTATTGCGGCTTCTTTTGCTGCTGCTACTTTTCTGCTGGTAGGAGAGGAGGAAGAGGGATGGGCGGCAGGGGGAGTGTAGGAAACATAAGGTGATTTTGTGTCGATGATACAGCCACGCTGCTTGGTTCGGTTCGCACACTTACCTGCACACAATGCCTGCACTCGGCGGCTGGATAGAATTCTTGGTATTCGCGGGGGGATTGAGAGGATTGGCGATAATTACTTGTCCCTACTTGCAGTAGCGGAAAGGGGTGTGAGAGATGAACGCTGGAAGAAGGGGGAAAAGAGAGTCAAAATCACAGCGTCCGGGAGGTGGGCGATCACAGGATGAAGAGGAGTGAGAGCGAAGTCTCGGGTGTGAAGTGTGAGAGGTGTGTGAGGTGGATGCGTTCTGGTTCAGGGCGGGGAGTGGAGGGGGGGCAAGGGGAGGGGAGGGTGGCAGGGGTGCTTCAGGACAAGGGGGTAGGGATAGGGGGGGATCGTGTGGTGGGCAGGGGAGAATGGGAAGGCCTCACAGGTCTCGAATGGAACGGTGAGCATTCGCTGGACACGTTTTCAAGTAGCAGAAAGACGCGGCAATAGATGCTGTTTATCATTCCATAATACACAACATTCATAACGCTTATAATGCTTAGATCGGTAGAATCGAGTGATCAAAGGAAGATAGAGGTGCAGGTTCATGTTTAGGTACGGATTCAGGTGGTGCCCTTCTTGTCGCCGGTCTCAGTGACATGCCGAGATGGTGCGAGAGCCTGCGACATTATGCCTCCGGTGGCTCGAGAGGCAGGGTATTGATGAGTATCGGTTACCGCAGGGCCTCCCGTGTGAAGGCAAGGTTCCAAGGGTTTGGGGAGAACAACCACATGGGGGGGATGGGTGTGTGGATTCAGGAACGATGGTGCGCGAGATCACAGACAACGATGACTAGTCTAGGATATGGCGTCCATGGGAACAATAGGAAGATAAGAGGACGCGAAGACAAGTGGAAAAGGGGTTTACGGCGCAAATCGGGAGTGAGAGGTGAGACTGAGACTGAAGTTCCTGAACGTGAGGTGAGTATGAGAGTGAGAGTGAAAGTGGATGAGCGAGAAAGAGAACAGACCATCCGCACAGAGCAGTGATGGCGCAGGAATGCAGCTTGCGCAAACGCGTTGCAGATACGGCACAGCAAGGCAGCCAGTGGTTCACTCGGCCGGCGCGGACGGCGGACGGACGCTCACTTTCGCGGGCCACTTCACTCAGATCGGGGATCCGTCTCACTCAAGATGGATACTGAA